TGACAGCAGTTTGTCCCTTAGAGTGACAACCCCACGCCAGAAGTCAAAAGCAAGATGCAACTTGCTGCTGACCCTGACAGCTCTCCCCAGCTGAGCAGGGGCTGCGTGCAGAACGAGCAACACAAAATCTTCCGGAAAAGTGAGCTGCACAGCAAAATTCACTGCCACTTTCCATCACGCGTGTTGAATCCTTTATTTCCAAAGTGCTGCTTGTAACCCAACTCAGCGTGACACAAGGGAGAGCCGGTGCTGCCAGAGCCCTCTCCCACCTGGCCCCACTGCAGGGAGGCTGCAGCCAAGCCCCTTCCCCAGGCCGCCATTCCCACGCCGGCACAACACCTCCCAGACATGACGGCAACACCCACAGCATCGCTCCTCTCGTCCCTGTGTGACCCGGTGCTCCCGCAGCCCCAGAGTCATCTCCAGACTCATCTTACCAGCACTTCACAGCATGGCCTCGTCCCCCCAGCCCAGCTTCTCCCCACAGGGAGGCTGCTCGGCGCAAACCCCCCTAGTCCCTGCAGCTCCTGCCCCGGCCACGCTGGGCTGCCCCACTCCCCCTCCACCCCGCACCCCCACACAGCAGCACGGCTGCACCCCACAGAGCGCGGGGCTCCCTGTGCCCTCCAGCTCACCCTCCCCGCAGTGCCACACAGCACCCCGCACCCTGACCAGCGCCTCACGCCCTGGTGCACACTGCGGGGGGCTGTGCCCCCCCCACTGCATGGCACCCCCAGACACTCCACAGGGCGCTACCAGCACGCACCCCAGGGTGCCCATGCAGGGTCTAGGCAGACCCAAACACTCATGTGGGCTCTGGGCACCCTGAGGTGCTGCTGCAGGCTGCCAGAACCCCCAGGGACCTCCGGGCACCCCTGCAAACTGCCAGCACCCCCCTGCACCCACTCAGGCTCTGAGTATCCACACACACACACACGTGGCCATGTATACAGGCTACCGGCACCCCCAAGCTCCCATGAGCACCTGTGCGGGCTGCCAGCAGGCTTCTGCACCCCCGAGCACCCACGCCTGATGCCAGCACCCCCATGGACCTCTGCGCACCCATGCAAGCCGCCAGCACCCCCCAGGCTCTGAGCACCCCGCTACACACCCAACCACGTATAAGGTCTGTCAGCGACCCCCTGAGTCCTGTCAGCGTGCCCAAGCTCCCCTGAGCACCCACGCCGGCTGCCAGCTCGCTCCTGCACCCCTGAGCACCCACGCCGGCTGCCAGCACCCCCGGGACCCCGCGCACCCATGCGGGTTGCCGACCCCTCCCCATCCCTCGGCACCCCCGCGCATCCCTGAGCACCCCCGCATGCTGCCAGCCGGCTGACAGCCCCCTCAGCACCCCTCCGGGTCTCCAGCGTCCCCGGTCCCGGTCCCGGTCCCGGTCCCGGTCCCGGTCCCGGCACCCCCGGCCCCGCACCTCGCCGCCGGACCCACTCCTCCGGCCGCGCCG